ATGATGATGATGATGATGATGATGATGATGATAATGACAAACTAGGTAAATGCCAAGGTGTCAGGTTGAAAAAGAGCACGTTAAGCAGCAGGTCGCTACTAGATAGAATAATCCGCTTCGGCTCACGTACCTACAGCTAATCATCATCACACATATCAGCCTATAAGTACCCACTGCTGAGCAAAGGCTTCTGTCCACCCGGAGAAGGTTTGAGCATAAATCACCAAGCATCCTCAAGGTGAATTAGATTTTAGACAAATAATTAGAAATTGCAAGTTTAAAAGGTAAGGTATTTATCGTATCTTGGAGTTAAGATTAATCCAATTGGGTAGTTTGCTGGGTCAAAAATTAATTAATTTGACGTTTCAAAACAATAAAATATTCAAAAATAACTGGACTTTTATTCATCGATCGATCGATACACTAAGTTTTAGATTTTTTAGCTAATTACTTATTATGAAATAAGTAAGACAAACAAATTTCATAGAAAAGTATCGTTTTTGAGGTTTGGATAACAGTATTTAATTTGACTAGTTGGAAACTACCGTATTAACGATTTTAGCCCTTCCAAAATAAAAAGGTAATGTTACAGGATTACACAGCTTCATAGGCTGTTGAAACTGGCCGCAGGATTGAAGCGTGTCGAGACTGAACCGATTTTTTTTAGCCTAGATACCTATATCTAGGTCTATAGCACTTGACATTATTTATTTGGCCATAAACTCTCGACGACCTGAATCCCCGAATTGTATCTGGAACAGAAACATCTATCCAGAAGTTTTACCTAGTTGTTGACCTCTTTATATTTGTAAGTGGTAAACTTTTACCAATAAATAACTTTTAAAGTTGCTATGTTCCAACTTTAAAAAAATGCAGGACTATCTAAATAAATAGTTTAAAATCTTACCATCCGAGATGAAAAATTTATCGAAATTCGAAATCAAATGTTCACGCGAAAAAAATTTTTAAATTATCTGCATCAATGCACTCACGGAGTACCCACATATTATTTAAAAGTTATTTTAAAGAAAATTTTACTAACGAAAATGGATGTAAATTTGACATAAAGGATATTTTTTATGAAATAGGTCGGCGAACGAGCAGACGCTGTACCCAATGGTAAGCAATCTTCACTCAGACGGTGAAACGCTTTGATTGTTTCACACCGGTTTTCTGTGAGGCCGGGATATCTAGGTATCACTCCGGTCGAGCCGACCCATTCGTGCCAAAGCATGGCTCTCTCTCACACTTAGAACATTAGACCACATCTAGACTTACATTTCAATAAAATTGGAATGTCTGTTAGTTATATTGAAATAACCAATTTTTACTAAATGTATATATTACTATACATGTAGGTACACAAAAATAATACTTTTACAACAGACTTTCGCTAGTCTGACTGTTTGTTCCAGCCACAGACTTGTGGTTTCAGATAGTCAATGGGATGATTTTAAAAAAATATTTACCGATTTTGACCGGAATATTATTGCTAGGAGGTTATTAAAATAATAAGTAACTTGAGTTACTTTTATTTTACAATAAAACTTACTTACTCCAAAAAATATAGTGGTCCCGTTTTGTTTTTGTGAGGGGAGAATCATCAAATGACTTCTCCCGCCCAGGGTGGGGCGGGAGGGAGTGTCAGACTCTTACTGACTAAAAACCCCCCTGTTCCTTCTCCTGCTCTGGGCCGAGGTCGCGGTGCCTCATTGCGCTTACCCCGCAACCCCGGCTGAACATCAGCCCTATAAGGTCCCGTCTGTGGTGGTCTATAGGCTCTTTGAGGCGCGCGCGAAACGCTACGCGCCGTACGCTCGGATCTGGTTCTGGTCGGGCGGCGAGCTACCCGAAGACCCGACCAATAGTGGTCCCGTACGATAGCGATAATCAATTTTTACGCGAATAAAACTACATATAGAACCTAGTACATAATAAATAAATAATCTCCGTTTCCTCATTTGAATAGGATACCTATTTAGGTACAAATATGATCACCTACATGACAATGCAAAACAATTACAAGGAAAAATGAACAAAACAAATGAAAAACAATAATAATATTTATATAATAATTTTACTGTATTTTATATAAAATATATAACAATAATATTAATTTAAATATTTGTTATTTTGTTTCACAGACACGTAATCGTTACAGAGTAAAACTAAGTTCCCTGGAATACGCAACGTTGGCGCCTAGGTTTATATGAAGTACCTGGAATTGCATATTAAATCATTTTATTTTATAAGAAATATATATACCTAACAAGATGATTGCTTTGTTGGTTTCGTAGCTAAGGATTACAGTGCTGACCACAAAATCTTCGATTAGTTCACCATTTTTTTAATAGTTCATGACAATATATTTTTCTACGATTATTTAGACACCACTGACATACGGTGAAGGTAAACGTCGTGAGGAAACCTGGACTTTAATTTCTAATTATAAGTTTGAAATCGCCAACCCGCATTGACCAAGCCTTTTGATTCATGCTCAAACCTTCTCCGTGTGAGAAGAGGCCTTTGCTCAGCAGTGGGCACTTATAGGCTGATGATGATGATGAATATATTTTTATATAAATCAAAGGTCTACCAGGTTCACCACGTGAACATAAAACTAAACTTGGCTGGATTTTATTCGGAAAAGTGGAAGATATTACAACAGACACAATCGTTTCTTGTTATGCATCATTAAAGCTTAGGCTAAAACTTATTGAAAACAATCTAGGAAAAAAACAGATTTGAATAGGACCTACTCGAAAGAAGAAAACAAATGTGACGGTTTCTATGAAAATACATACAAGAGAAACAGCAGTATCCAATAGATCTTCATACAAACCATACGTTGTTTCATTAAAAAATTATACAAACAAACCTCAACCTTATCACGTAAACATAGGTACATTATTATGTTGAATTTAGTAGGTACATAGAACCTATAGACATTAGTCACAAATAAAATCGAAGTGTTACATTTAATATATTTATTTCGGACTACCCTAACGGGAATAGGTAAGAGGCACGCTATGTGTATATGCTAGTTTGAGAGAACCATGCTTATTCACGGATGTGCCTCTTCTGCCCCTAAGACTACCCTTCATAGAAAATAGACGAGGAACAAAGCTGACGTTGTGTTTCGCTGTGTGAGGTTACCGAATGACCATGCCTCGTCCCCTCAATCTGAATACCAAATCTTCAAATCCCTTACCAACCAAACGGTCGGCCAGGCGCTTCTAACTAGCTACTCTGGTGGTTCAAGCTTGTTTTAGCATATTTAGCTCCATATGCTCCTTTGCCGACCTATCACACAAAATGTAGATCCCACGTAGGTAAATAATCCGAGCGTACGGCGCGTAGCGTTACGCACGCGCCTCAAAGAGCCATTAGACCAACACAGACGGCGCCATATAGGGCTGATGTTCAGCCGGGGTTGCGGGGTAAGCGCAATGAGGTACCGCGACCTCGGCCCAGAGCAGGAGAAGGAACAGGGGGGTTTTTAGTCAGTAAGAGTCTGACACTCCCTCCCGCCCGGCCCTGGGCGGGAGAAGTCATTTGATGATTTTCTCCTCACAAAAAAAAACGTAGCTAAATAAACACTTACGATGGAATTGTCAAATCATGCAAGACTATTTATTGATGAGTATCTGATTCCTTGAATACGGTAATCATTGAATAACAAGAAGCACCTAATTACAATATATCTTCTTTATCTGCTTAATAAGTCCCTGCCGTTATCGCGTGAATCAGTAGGTGAAAAATTACGTATTCATTAAGAAGTACTAACGAATACTTATTTGGATTAGCTACGATTATGTATAAATTATTTGTTTAGTACATTTGTACCTAACTACTTATCCTATCAATAGTATTAGTGTCAACGTGTGGCTAGCGTTTTGGAAATTGGGATGGGGTTGGAGGAAGGGAAAAATTGAGCCTCCAGTGAACTACAAACCACTAGGCGCTCTCAATCGAATGACTGAATATGAAATTTTCACTAGTTCGGTAGGTACATAGTAACTATAAACCTAGTAAAGGGAGGTTTTCAATATACTAATTGTACATACCTACAAAATATATAATTCGTTCCTTTAAAACGAAATAAAAGAATACCTAATACATTATTTATCAGCAACTCAACTATATCTTTGTATAAAAAAGCAATTTTTGAGAATGTTCAAGAGTAATAAGCCTTCATCGGCAATAGCCTTCAGCGCATTAAAAAAGTTATCTAGAAAGACGCCAGAGAATTCCCTGCCGAAGCCTGCTTTTCCCAAGGGATATCTGAATGTCTTCAAGCCCTGAGTGCATAGGTTTCTTATATCACATCATCGCTTCCCACTAGGTGAGATAATACTGAAACCCCAGGCCATTGCAATTAATAAAAATAAACTCTCTTAAGGAAATAAATACCTATGTACAAAGAGTGAACACAACACAGCTGTATGTACCAACGACTTCGAAGAAGAGAGACATTATGATTTGTATGAATGTAAGAACTAATTCATCATAAACTGACATCCAAAGTTCGCTTCCATTTTCCTAGAATACCTACAGTACCCTGCAAGCACTTAACGAGAGTTCCATGAATTACAACGCTTTTGTTTGTAATGGAAAATTTATGAAGTAGTATTGCTTTGATCTTAAGTTTTTTTTATAGATACTTACATAGTATCTATCATGCATCGGGACATTCTGTAGAATATAGTTCATATTTATGTAAGAGATTGTGACTTTCGTTATCGAATTTGTTAAGTCCGAACAGAATAAGCACGACTTTTGGGGAACAACGGGTGTATCAAAAAAGGTCGTATTCGGTAGAAATACGGAAATAATTTCAAACTGACTGTAATTAGATACGGATTGCTTACGACATATGGATTATTTTCCTCAGACAATTTCATTGATAAAATATGATATCTACCTACCTGCAATGTTTGACCTATATTTCCCTACAAATTGGATCACCCATCAACACACTGCGTCACAAACGCAAATGCATCGAAAACACTAAACGTTTCTAGAGCCGAATCCGTCTGAAGTGAAGAACAGATGAACGTTCCAAATTTAAAAATAGAAACACGAACGAAACAGTAGTCCGCGCGCTTTTACACCGGCTTTCTACATCTTACTCTAACCTAAAATTAAAAACTATAATAACCATTCATTACATGTGCATCACAGGGAATTAGCAGAAATGTCTCAAGACGAGGGCTTCTTCAAAAAGTTCCACGAAACTATAAACAATTCGTTGGATGACGTGACGAGGAACAATTTCGCCAATTTAGAAACGAACACGAAGCGAGTCTCCTACTTGTGCAGTCTACCGACCGTCAGGAATTACAATTTAATCGACGATTTGCAGAAATGTCAGACAGGCGGCGAGTTTCCAGTGAAAAAAGACTTGGAAAAAGCTAGACAGCTGAAGGATGAGGGAAATAAAGCCGTGCAGAAAGGTGACTGGGCGAAGGCGATGCAATTGTACAGCCAAAGCATGGTTCACATGCCCGAGAAAGAAAGTAAGTGTTCGTGTTGTTGAGCTTCGCACTAAGCATGTTTACGAAAAGGTTTCATGTGTTATTTATAAATAATGTAAACAAACAACTCGTTGCTGGAATCTAAACTTTATTATTAATGTCAACTAAACTAACTACCTGGGTACTTTTTTAACCTTATTCGTGATCCAGTGATCGTGACCAATGAATGTTTAAGACGTCTTGGAAAAGTAGAAATATTGCATTAGTTTGACAGAAACAAGCCAGAGAGCTTTGAGTGAAACTTAAAATATTTTTAGGTCTATACCTTCTTACTTTTTTTTCGTACCCACAATGTTGCCGTCTGCATACCAATATGTCCAAGTTAATAGGTAGCTATTAACTTCGTCCGCCGTTATTTAATTGTACCTAGTGTTTTTATTAATGCACAAAGTAATAAAAATAATTAATATTAACAGAATATTATATGTAAACATATAATACTGAAATTATTTTAATAAAGTTTAAATAACTTAATTGATTTTGAACCACAGCAAAGACATTTTAATAAATATCACTTATTTTATTTCGTTTCTCGATTTTCCTGCTAATATCACTAAATGCTTTTGATTCCCGGTATTATACTAGGACACATCTTCAAACAAAGCTTACATTTTAAATTAATGTCGAATTTTCCTCAACAGTTCTTAGAAGCTGAAAATTATTGTTTATTATGCACCGACCTATTATTAATATTTTGTCGAAGGAGTTTGTGCTTTACGTATTTATTGAACTGACAATATATTTTGAGTTTTGTCCAAAATGGTTTAATAATGAGCAATTTACAATAACTAAGCATGTTATGTAGATACGTACCTGTTTTTGTGTAGTTACTCCGATCCAAAATAAATTAATTTTACTTTTTAAAACAATAAATTATCAAATTATAATTCTTAACTAAAACTAAAACTATCTAACTATCTCTATTTGACTTGTTTTTAAGTTTTTAAAAGTGAAGATAAATAACTGCATCGAGGGCAAGCGTGACTTGGATAAGTTCAGAGCAATTTCTGTCCAGATTTGACTGATGAATCATAAAGCACAATTTGCAATCAAGTCTTGTTCCATCCTTGATTTAAGAAATTCCTAAAATACCAAGTTATATGTAGGTACACTATCGTGCTCCTTGTGATTTATTAAAAGAGACTGAATTAAAAACAATTGTTTACTTTCTTATCTGATTAGAGATATTACCAACAAAAATATAACAAATATACTTAATCAGAATCAGTAACCGTTCTTAACCTATAATCGATGAATCGATACCCATTTTTGACAGACGCTTATGTCAGATCGATCTTTATCTTAACTGAAGTTGACGCGATGTTCGGGCTAACGAATGTCGTGTAACGTTAGTGGGTTCAAACACTCACGAAATAACTATTTGTTAATGTTCCGGATCTGGTTTGCCAATTTAATTTCTATAAAAGCCCCCACGATACAAGAGATAATGAAAGGGTGGGCTACGTTTCCGATTAAAAATATTTTTGGATATCAACTTCACCGATATTATAGTTCAACAGAACCATTTATACAATAGACTTACATACATATACATATACACTAAAACTTTGCTCAGTATATTAGCCCTTTAGCATGATATTTTTCTTGAACAATAAATATTATATCCAACAAAAAAGATTTATTAAATCCAGACAAGTGCATTCAAATGGGACCGATACTAATAGAGGTACTTATTCTATAAATTTGCCATATAAAAGTCCCTAAACAAATAAAGAATAAAAAAGTGCATTCAAACAAACAAATTCTTCACTTCTATCGTACTTATAGTAAGAAGAAAAAGGAAAAAGATTCCTCTTTCTGAGACCACAGCCATATAAAATATTTCAATTTTTATCTTTACAGCTGAAGAACTGTCAATCGTGTTAGCGAACCGCTCAGCAGCTCTGAATCACCTGGAGCAATATGAAGACGCCCTGGCGGATATCAAGAAGTGTCTCAATCTAGGCTACCCTCGTCACCTTCGCTACAAGGTTTATGAGAGGAAGGCCAGGTGTCTCCTCGTGCTGAAGAGGAATAAGGAAGCTATTAGCGCTTTCCAGTAAGTTTTTTTCTGTTTTAAGCTAGTAAGTTAAGAAGCAAAAATAGTTGGTTGAATATTGTTTTTTATCCATTTGTTATTTTTACTCTGATAAAATGTTTGGGCCTTTGTAAATAGGTTAAGGTAATAAGGGTTCAATTTTGACAAACCAAACTTTCTCACTCTAGCCTATAAATCCCCACTACTGAGATGTCACTTTTCACATGCGCATGAATGCACCACGTTAGTTTAAAGCAAATGGGCGATTTGAAACTTAGAAAGTACATATGTATTATATTCCAGAAAAAGTCACATTGGCACTTGCTAGATTTCGAATCATTCGTGAGAAATGGGTGCCTTTAGCAACCTCTCGAGTTACCACGACGTCGAAACTTCTTTAGTTATATATAATCGGATATTTTTTAAATACAACATATACATTTTTATCTTTTGTTATAACGCTTATAAAGCTGTATTTTTAATTCAGAGATACAATCAGCTCGCTCGATGAAGCGACAAAATTGGAGAAGGAGAAACGGCAGAAGATGCGCACGGACTCCAAACTTATGTTGGAAATACTGAACAAAGGGCTCGTTTTAGCCGGGAACCCGAAAGACCCGGAACCTTTAAAAAAGACTCCACCAAAGCCCAAGCTTCCTGGTAAACACAATTCTCAGTATCCTGCGGCTTCCGAAGCAATCCAGATTGACTCTGATGAAGTTCGAGGCCGATTTGCTACAGCTACTAAAGATATAGAAGCTGGAGAGATCTTGCTTTTAGAAAAACCTCATAGTGGAGTGCTTTTGGCAGAATACTCCAGTACTCACTGCCAACACTGTTTTATGAAGTATGTATTTCTTTACAAATATCTTTTTGTTTTTGTTCACATTCTTCGTACACTTTTTAATAGCTGATTTGTTTTTACAGGTGTCCAATTCCCCTACCATGTCCAAAATGTCCCAACGTCATATTCTGCAGCGACAAATGCTTAGAAGCAGCACAAAAGTCATACCACGGATATGAATGCCACATTCTTCCGCTTATTTGGAAATCAGGATGTTCCATCACTTGTCACATAGCCTTGAGAATGATCACTCAACACAACAAGGAGTACTTCACAAAGGTTAGCCAAGCATTGGATACCAAACCGCCTGCTCCATACAAAACTGACGACTACAGAAATATCTATCATTTAGTATCGCACGAGGACAAAAGATCCAAGCTAGACTTTCTACACAGGACACAGATGACGGCTTTCTTCGTAAAACTACTTGAAGTTAGCGGCTATTTCGAAGGGAAACCAAGGAATAAGCCGGTCAATCTGGATGAGCTTAAGACAATGGGTGTAGATGAAAAATATAAGGATGACGTAGCCCTGATTGGTGGTCTTATTCTGAAGAATCTGCAGATATTGAAGTTCAACGCCCACGAAGTGTTTGAGTTGCAGTGTCCTAAGCCTAAAGTAGGTAAGAATGTGATCAAGCACGAAGGGAAGTCGGTGTTCTTGGCGGGAGCTGTGTTCCCAACTCTTGCGCTTTTCAATCACTCTTGTGATCCCGGTGTTGTGAGGTGAGAAGTTATACTATGCCTATCGATGGATTCTTGAATCACTTCATTGAAAATACTGAAAATAACTTCCTCTTTCAGATACTTCTGCGGCAATAATGTTGTCGTTCGTGCAGTCAAAAATATTAAAAAGGGTGAAGAAGTCTCCGAAAACTATGGTCCTATCTTCACGACTGTACCGAAAGAAAAAAGGCAGGCAGAACTGAAGGAGCAATATTGGTTCGACTGCAATTGCACACCATGTGAACACAAATGGCCCATGTACGAAGAAATGACTGAAAACTACATGAGATTCAAGTAAGTAATCATTTTTTGAAGATGACTTTCAATTGTAGGTATTCAGGGATAAATTATATATTAAGCCACTTAAAATGGTAACACTTGTAGCTAAATAATGTGACAGCTAGAGCCATCTATTGTTGAACAGGGTAAACTGAATTATGAAATAACGAAAAATGAATATTTTAATGGGAGGAAGAATTATTCTAAGTATAATTATTACTTTTGGTTTACCCAAATTCAGCATTTAGATGTATAAAATGGTCTTTATAATAGACATTATTAGGTAGGTAGGTACTTACATATTCAATAACCACTTAACTTTTTTAGATGTGACTCGGACCGTCCCTGCCCTAATGTGGTAGCGGTTCCCTACGACAGCCAAGAATTCATGGTGCAGTGCGGACTTTGCCAGCAGTATACCAACATACTGAAGGGACTGAAGTCGCTACAAGTAAGTTTAATTGATCAATCATAGAACGTGCCTTTTTTAAATTTAGAGAGACTGGACACTACCATCTGCAATCTGTCACAGTCATCTTTCATAGACGCAGAAGATATAGTATTAACAATCAAGAAATTAATATTTAAAATATAATTTTAATCAGTTAGCTGCGCGAAGTCGACGCGACGCGAAGAGTTTCGTTGTAACTAGAAACTAACTGAGCTTTTATCGATTAGGTACCTAGGTACCTCACGTGAGCAAGTCGTTATTTCCAATAGTTTTATAATTATTCCATACATTTAGTTCCTATGTCTTAACTTTTAGGTAAGCACCCAGATTGTATGCAGACGATAGTAATAAAGATCTTTTTCAGGTTCAAACTAAATATGTTCTTCCTGTTCGAATAAGCATTTAGTGAAAAAATCCTAAGTTTTTATACAAACAAATCACATTAGCAAAGTAAATTGACTTATAAAATTCACTTAGTACTCGCATCAAATACTTCTGTAGGACGCAGATATCCGTATCGAAAACACGAAGCGAATTAGTGTGGTCGTGAAAATTACACAATAAATAGATTTAGTCTTACCCGGTACAAAATTGTTAGTTGCTGTAACTTTATGGATACAATTAGACTGAACTGAAAATTACTTGTGCATATATGAAAATGGTATGAAAATTCCGTGACGGTGTCATCATTGTCGAAATGAAATACGTAGGTACCCGCCTATTTATTTTAAAGATTCAAGTTAGAAGTTTTACAAAGTAAAAGTATATTCCTATATGTATATATTAGTAGCTTCCGCCCCATTTTCAACACAGAAGCATTTAAAGCGAAACTTGTTTAATTTATAGCCTACATATGTATGTATAGCACCCAGGAACATTGTAGCTATCTATCCGTAAAAGAATTTTGGAAATCCGACCTTCGGATACAAAGATAACCCCCTACATGCAAACTTCTTCATAATAGGTATATGGAGATGAAAGATTTTTTGGTGGATGAATTGCGCTAGACTCGCGGCCCCGGCTGATATACAGCACAGATCATACATTGTATTTCTTTAGAAAATACACGAACAAATGATAAACAAATAGGTACCTACTGCACATTGAAAAGGACAACAGACATGCTTAAAAGTAAAGAATGTACGTATACGAATGGATGCTCCAAATAAAAAAAATACGATTTTATTATTAAAAAACAGTTTATGTATTCGATAAGGTGCAACAATCTTACTTATTATAAATAAACATTTCGAGCTACAATTCATTTCATTAGCTTAAAGGCACTGTGTGTTTTATCGTAAAATACCATTAACATAACGAGTAAAACAAACCCTAACAGATACCTAATAAGTTAATAACCTATTATCAAATAATACAATGGTATCTCTCTAGTTTCTGTTGGTGACTTCGCCCGCAGGACCAGGGTAGGAGTAGTCTACGTGTTATTCCGAACCTATCGCGGTTGCCAAATTTAATTCGGATCCGTTCAGTAATGTTTACATGAAAGAGTAGCAAACATCCAGTGGTTATATCCTCTTTACATCCATCCATACCAACATCCGCGTATTATTTAAAATATTAGCAGGATATTTCCCAAAACAGGCTACCAATAGAACTGTAGGTATATTTATTTAGTTACTTATAATAAGACAAGCCTTTATTAAAAGAAAAAGGATAACCACACAGGATAATACCTACATTCGTATTTTTAGTATAAAATATGACTAAGCATGTCTCAAACTTGGGAAACATAATTCACACAACCTAACTCTCTGGAATAACTTAATTCAAGGACCACATTAAAACGACACAAAAAAAAATACACAAGACAAACTAGGCGCCCAAAAATAACAACTAACTCGTCCCCTCCCACCACGCACGTTGCTCATGAATACGAGTCCCGTCTTGACTTGAAACTCGTTGAGCTTTTGACTAACCCCCATTTAAAAACTATACAAAAACCTAAGTATTAAATTACATTTCAGTACATGTAAATACCATAGACAGTAGTATAACAGAATATACTCTCATTTCTAAAGGAGGCGTCCGTGTAGTCATCAGTCTCCGGGTCCCAAATACATCTCTGCCCACATTTTACACCTGCGCCCTTCATTTCTATTATTGTCGTTTGTACTACGATCTTGTACCTGAAATAAAAACAAAAAAGACAATGATATTATAAGTAAAAAGGTGTACCTAGATAGGTTACAAGCGCTCAGCAAGTGATTCATTAAAATGTGGCTCACTAGCCACACTTTTTTCATATTTGTCTTTTTTTCACTCGCGATTATTGAATCGTGCCATCTCAATCTCATCATCAATATCATTAAAAAGGGGAGTTAAGTACGTTTCAATTGAGTTCCTTTTAGATTTTCTTCTGTCATATGCCAGCTAACATACCTGATGGCAAGCAATCGGCGCCGCCCATGGACATCGAAGGAGTTACTAGGAGTGCGTTGCCAGCATCTTGTGATTTGTTAGGGATTTGAAGTTAGGATAGGGATTTGACGGTAGAGGATGGGGGACACAACTTAAATGTTGCTTCACGTCTATTTTCTGTGAGGCGGTGATATACCTCCGGTCGAACCGGCCACACGCGAGCGCAATCTATGTACCTACTAGCGATAGAAGAACAACATTATGGCGGCGAGTTTCGCTGTCCATCCAGAACCAGACCAATATGGCGAGTCGCGTTCCGCGCGCGCCTCTCACATTTACCACCACGTACCAAGGCCCATTTGAGCGGAAATCCAGTTGGGGTTGTGGGTGCAAGCGCAATGAATCACCGCGACCCTCGGAGCATAAGGAACGGGACAAATTTTTGTTGTGACGCCATCCCGCTTAAATACATTTGATGATTTTTCCTTATGGCTAGGTGCTTATAGTAAAGTAGACTATATCGCAGATCGAGTGTCCAGAAGCGCAACCAAATCGGGGTATTATTTACAATTAAGGAAAACCGAAATGAACCTTTTTGGAATTAATAACTATTTAAATGTTTTTTTCTGGCAAAACACGAAAAAAGAACCCTTACCTCTTCATATCAAGTTCCTGTACTCTCTGTCGTATTGCATTGGCTATCACCTTGACCCATTTCACAGCCTGGTCGGACCTATACTGGCGACCCGTCAGCTGTTCGTGCATTATAGTCAGTATTATCTCCTTTACGTTGGCCGCTTGGAATCTGGAACGCGGAGCAATAAAAATAAAATCAATATGAATAAATAAGTTTTTTGTATAACTAAAGACTCATATAGAATGAGGAACAGTTAACAGCCTTAGTGGCGAACGCAGGCATAAAAGACCTAAAAAATCTACAGAATTTTCATATTTTTTAATCTCATACTACTGCTGCAGTGCAAAGAGCGCTGCGACATTAGTAAGCGGAATGAGAATTATAACAAATGTTTTTTAGGGTACAGTCAACTGCAGAGAAATGGACCCCAACTGAAGTACAAATATACATATATGCAGCTATCTGCATAGGGGCATCCTTTTCACAATGGAACACGGGTTTTAATAAACGCGGTGCTTATTTTCTAAATGAACACTTTCATCATCATTGTCAGCCTATAAGTGCCTCTTCTCACAAGGGATAGAAAGAATGGGTGTTAAGCCCCAAGCTTGCTCAAGGCTGATTGACAATTAGAAACTTTTAATTAATTATTAGAAATCATAAGTCCTGGTTTCCACATGATAGTTTTTTCTCCGTATGCCTATGGTGCCAATAGCCAATGTGTCCACCTATAGTGCCAGGGCCGTAGGCCAAGCCCGACTTTTAAGTAGTCAACTGTTTGCCACTATATCTTTTAACCGATTCCGTGCGGATGATGCCGCACAGGCACCATGTAAATATATTGCGTATGGCGTATGATGCCCGAGAGGATACAAAACTAAAACATAAAAAACTCGGCTAAAACGATATTTGCCAAAAGTCCCGTAAATAAATGTGTCTTTATTTGTCACCCATATCATGCCCACAGTGTTCGTTTCAAGTATTTTCGAAAATTAGCAGACTTCAGGGGTTGAAAACCTAGTGGTCGACTCCCATTTTATTATTGATTATAATTTTTTTCTAACAGCCAACTTTCTGGAATGTCTGTTTCTTTGACTGTCCATACTCGATACGAATTTGACACCAATGCTAACGTGTGAATGAGACACACGATCGCAGACCGAAAATGGAGAATGTTACTGGGTATGCGAAATTGATTGTACCTTTGTCGCAGTAAATTCTATGTGAATATAAAATAATACACAATTTTTTTTATGCCAATATATCAACTGTTTTAAATTTTATAGACATTTAAAAATCCCGTTAACTTACAATGGAAGTGTTAATGTCACGTCACAGGTCATACACCTAGTCCTACCGTCGGCGCGTAATTTTTCCGATGCTTTGGTAGTAGTGCTTTCAAATTTTGGCACAACACATGATGTGGTACGAAAACAAATTCTATAGAACACTTTTGAATAAATAAATTCATAAAATAATGCAAAAAGGTTTACAACCCCTGATAGAAATTAGTCACTTACCTTCTATTTCCATAAAAACACACAGATAGTTAATTTTACACGCACTGAACTAATTCACTGAGCGTTTACGTTCGATACCCAATGGCAAATGACTCTTTAGCAAGTGGAAACACGAAAAAAAGCTAAAAGTTACAATTTACGGCGGATGATTCCCCCGGGGAATCATGAAAGTCTCTGGCGCTTGGTGCCCCACGGGTATCACGGAATTTTTGTTCGACGCCAGGCACTAAAGATTGCTACAAAGACCTCCGCTCGGAACCGGTTAACTAGTTCCATTCACAAATATCTAATCCAGGACCTGTACAACTAACTTATTCTCAATAAAAAAAATCAAAGCTTGACTATTTTATTGAATAAATTTCGTAATTTTTGCTTCACTTTAAAATGTTTGAAACTTAAATAGGTAGTTATAGCCTATTATTTTTAGCGGGGGCCTGCGTATCCAAGGGGCCCTGGGCTACAGCCCTTAAATAGATGTTCCCCAGGAGTCCATAGTAAATAGCTTCATGTAACTTACTTTTCGCCAAGACCTGGGCGTACTTCATACTTAGGTGGCGCTAAAGCTTTTTCAATAGATGGACTTATTGTTTCTTGGACGTCTACTTCACGCTCTACTGCAACTTCAGTTTCTTCTTCAATATCTGGAATTTTAGGTTTGAAACTAGTAGAGCTTTTCTCAGTTGATTAACGTGAGAAAGTCGCTATTTTCAATAAATAAAACAGCAAATTTCAAAATCCTGTAAGTATATATAAAAAAATTGTTCATACCATCTTCATCATCTGCCATGGTGGATAATTCAGTTTGTAACAGGAATACAATTTTCTGAAATAAATAAAAAATATAACTTCAATTAGTTTGAGTTCACTGCACAGTTGGATACAACTTGGTGCTATGCATGACTTGTGGGTTCTATACACACACATGGTACAATATTAATCCTAGTGTTAAGTTATATGTAAAATTATGTTTGTACACCCATGATAAGGTAGAAAACACTAATGTGTGTATTAAAACATTTACGACAGATAACAATTCTGTTTAATTTTCCTTAGGACACAGAAATGATGTACCGTCTTGGGCGTGCAGCAATGGAGAATGGCCAGTATGGAGAAGCAATAAAGAAGTTTGTAGCGGTTCTGAAACTTTATGATGAAACTCTGTCCCCGCCCTATCGTTCATATTATGATTGCGTTCAAGACTTAAGGCGCAGTATGTTAGCACTAGGCAATTATAGTATTGTGTAGATATTATATGTATAAATTCCGAAATTGTATTGAATCCTATGATAAAAAAATCTAAAAATGTGTGTAGCTTTGTTTTCATTTTATAATTTCTGTGTTTCAGTTTAATATTTATTCACTTCATATTGACGTTTTTATTGTTGTAACATGTTATTATAATTTATTTTTTTCAGCAAATAGAATGACTTCTTAGTGAATCTGTCTGGTTAGATAACTAGAAATATATTCATATTGTGTTTGTTTACCTTTAAGTGAGTGTTACCCTTTACTCTGACAAGTATAATAGTTGTAGTATGTATCAGTGTAAACATTTATTGGTGGACTTTATAAATACATAGCAATTTTCTCTGAAACCACACCATTGATGTATTATAACAATTTCTCGTAAATTATTATAATTATGAAAATGTGTCTTCAGTTCTTCAGATTTGTTTGAATATCACTGGCCAAAGATAGTTTAGATAGTTAAGAGACCAAGAATTATGTTACTAATATATGTTATTTACATTAAATGGTAAAAGTTGTAAATGTTATTTTTACCTTTTATTCTTATTAACAAAATTCGTTGGTAACTTGTTAAATTACTCAGATTCGTACAAATTCCAACCTAAAAATCTCCATCAACATGGCATTGTTTCACTGAAAAGAATACTTTAAACTGTAAATAATTATGTATCTACTACTTACCTTAAAAGTACTTCACAAAAGGACTTTGTTCTAAAATATAAAATCAAATTCTCATAGAATATTTTCGGCGTAAGCGTTCAACGTTGCTATGACAACCAAACATAATCCACAGAGTACATTTTAACAATAGGAAAACATAATCCATCATGTAAAATGTCAAAATGACATTGCAAAGTCTATATGTCTAAATATCCCTCCGTTTCACGTTCAGAAAGATTCGAATTTTAAATAAACATCAGACCCTGTGGAAGACCATCGATATTCCGCGTGAGACAGCCCATGCAAGAGACATCAACGTAGGTAGTGCTTATATTCTCTTTGGAGACATCGTGCATACGCAAGTGGATCTGTTACGACGGAACAGCTAATCATCAAAGAGACATTTTGGGTATGCCAGAAGTCGACCGTTCATTGCAAGTAATATGTTATTTAAATAAACTTCCTGTCGTAATCCAATATGCGACAAATTAAAAGAGAAGGAACGGCCAGAAAAAGCATCCCGTTTTCTGAATCATACCAATTATTATTATGTGACGTAGGTACATTCTTAAGCACTTCAGCAAGCCATGATCGCGTACCAGCGAAAGTTTAATTGATAAAAACGCGCTTCATGTTTCGTTTCCAGGCGCTATGGAGGCTTCACACGGCCCTCTCTCTACTAACCTACCCGACCATTGAGATAGAAAATATATAGAGGCGCCGTGTTACTATAGAAGTATACATGCTTATACAAATATGAGGGAAATATGAAACAAACTATGAAATATCATTTTTTCTCACTCTTTCTAAGGCAATAATTGTATTAGACAAAAGAGACAACAATATTTAAGTTGTTGCTTAATATGGAAACAAATCATTTTGACATTAGCAAAGTTGTAGGTAAGTGCCATGTCCGCCATCTTAAGCGCTCAGAGTACCTGAGTTTCATGGTAGTTGTGCTGTCAAACGGTTGTTTATGTTTTAAATTATTGCGGTTTTTCAGTAAATTACAAAGAACCATTTTTTTAAACTTCAAATATATATAGTGAAACAAAAAAACAATATGCCTGTGTGTTGTATTGTGCAGTGTGGTACAAAAAAGAACGAAAATCAACCTCAATTGTCTTTGTATAGGTTAGTAAACAGTTTTCATCAAACATTACTTAGAATAATCCACATAGATAGAAAAAAATGTCACGGATACTTTAATCTATTGCCAAAGTATATATATTTACTTTTATTTCTATCTGTAAGACAGTTTTAGTAGAAAAATGTTGTTTACAATAATATGTCAATATGGCATAGTTACGTACCATTTCACAAAAGTATCGATATAATCTCCCATTTAAAATTCAACATATATTATACTAAATAATCTGTTTTAACAATGGATGTTTCCGCAGTTTTGTGTAACGCTAAAGTAAGACGTCAGTATTTTGGTATTGGTTTTAGTTACATAAGTAGAAGTTCAAATTATCATGTTTTATAATTATACGGGCGCGATTGACAGAGCGGCGTTGGCGACGATTCCAGTGCGACCACCAAGCGTAATAATAAAAAGTAAGATACATACAATAAGATTGACTTCACTACATATCTATTTTGTGCTAACGTAGTTTCGAAGATATCATCGCTTAATCAGACGCGCCGAAATTGTACGCGAGCACTTCACAAATACCCACAGGTTTTCCACATATATAAAGATAAACATTTAACAAACACTATCTTTTTCTATTTCACCATTCCATTAAACGCTGTTCATAAACACAGTCCTATTTTTTTAAAAGGCGCTTTACGTAGAATTATATGAATACAAATTCGACTTGAGAAAATCATTAGCCAATCAAGAGACCAAGTTAACCCCGGGTTCCGGGTTCTAGCTAGGCCGACGGCAAAGTAGGAACAGGAGTTGATTTTAGTCAGTAACGGTCTGTCCCGAAAAAGGCCGGAGATGACATTAGATGATTTCCCATAAAAAAATACCGTTAATCAGCTGGCTAATCCCTAAAACTATACCTACGTAGAACTTTTACTCAAATTGTATCGATACTCGTTAAATACTTAGTCGGCACAACCCTAGCAACGGCAGCCATCTTATGCGACATTTTGGATTGTAGGTAGGCACCTTCTTTTCGTAGGTATTTCAAGTCCATATATTTCCTATGTCAATGTACCCGACGCGGTAAGTTTTATGTAGTATAGTATCTAGGTACCTACCTATCAAGAGTATTAACCATATTTCATTGCCTAACTACCAAAGAAAATTGGATACATTTGTTGCTAAGTGGCCAAAAATCTGAAAAATGTTTTATTATGAAGAAGTGAATTTAGTGAAGAAGAGAGTTCTGCAAAAATTTTTTTTGGATCCAAATTAAAGTCGCTTTAAATCGGCCGGTAGTACTATAATAGTTACTCTACTAACTGAAATAAATGTCAAAAATATAGTTTATCTGTGTGTCCAAAAGCGTTTCATGTTACATTGCGATTGCATTGTGGAATTTTAGCATTTATTTTAGAGATATTGCAGAGAAACGCTAAAGTCTGCCTTTGTCTAAAGAAATTTTATGCTGAACAAACGACATTTCTAAAAATTCCTGTCTTGTATCACGCGCAAAGCATTTTGTTTGGGAACTGCAACTTTGACATGTGTTTCAATTTTAGTGATCGAAAACAAGAAATAAGATTAGAATTAAACAAATTAATGTAATTAATAAGATGGCTACTTACGATAATAAAATTTGGCTCTTAAAAAACATACGAGATGCGTTTATTGCTACTGACGACACCGGTTTATGTGAGATCGTTATGGCTGGAGAGGATTTTTCGAAAGTGTTTCAAAATAAAGCAATTGAAGAGAAAAAGAGGATAAGAGAAATGAGGTTGACTCAGCCTGGACCTAGCAAAGGTAAAGATGGAATGGGGGATATATCTGAAGAAGAGGTTGGAAGGGAGATTGTGACACAGTTTGATCCTTACCCTGATATGGATGATAGTGAGGATGACGACCCGTTGTGTGGCAGCTACGTGCGCTACGAAGAGTTTGGAGGACACAGGTATGTTTAGATTTAAGTTACGAGACATGAAGTAGTATTTATTGCAATGTAAACAATGTCTATATTGAAGTTATGAAAAGAAATGAAAATGCACTAGTTTCTTTAAATTTCTATGTTTTAAAAAGATTAAGAAAATTTTCACATCGTATAACAGTGTCAAATTAATTTTTAAAGCTTATAAAAGTTAACAACTCAATTTATTGTATGTATGAATACTCACCTACTGACCCACTTTTCGAGATTAGGCTAAATACATTATAATACTGTGCCAATTATGATGTCATTCTACATTCACAATTCCAGTTATGACATCATTTGATTTTAACTAAATTTGTAACACAAAAATCTCTAAAATCTCTAAACTCTAGTTTTTGTCTACTGAATTACAATGATTTATTTTAACTAACCTAATTTGTCAATTCCAGGCCAAGATCGAATACCGCTCAATGGCTAGACAAGAAAGAACAAGCATTAAAAAAAGCAGCTAAAATAAAAGTTATAAAGTGGGAAGATGCAACACCACTCACAACAGATCAGTTAGCCGAGGCATTTTCTAAATTTGAAGTAAAAAAACCTGAGAAAAAGAAATCTTTGCTAGCTGAACAGCTTCAGAATTGCCCTAACTTGCCTCACCGTCAATATTTGGAGTATGCAAAGTTTGATGGGACAGCACAACTAGGGCTTCCTACAAAGTCATTCAAAATCTTCATGACAATGCTTCCTGAGAAGTATCAAAATTACCCCTTAGTTGTGTGTGTCATTGCCAGTGCTAAGATCAAGGATTTAATTGGTTTCACATGCTATAAATACAGGTAATATTAGTGTTTATTTTAGATAAAACCATTTAGCACTAGTTTACCTTCCTCTAACAAATTACCTAATATTTGAATGCATGAACTAAAATGACTTTTTTATACTGTTTCTAGCATCGAACATCCAGATATATCACTTGGTTCTGTGCATGACTACGGACTTTGTATAGCAGAAGATGATGGTGAGGTTGACTGGGCCTTCCCCTGCCTAGATGCTAATGAGCCATGTTCCAAGTTCGGTTTCACATGTCTTGGTCTTGTAGAATTAAAAAGTAAAAATGCCATGACCCTACCACCGTCATCAATACCTGAGGATGGTATGAGTGGTGCCTTTCACGTGTTTTCAAAAGTCACAGACTCAGGTCAAAGTCATCAGAATCCATCCCGACACAATACAGGGGGAAGCTCCACATCAGAAGCTGTTTTAATAGCTTTGAAGGCTTTAAATGAAGGTATCTATTTCTTTTATTATTTCAATATCAGACTTTATATTTTTTTTAATTGATGAGTGTCTCATCTGTTCTGTTTTAATTATCTTTCAATCTGCTGTACATAGTCAATTATTTTATCACAAAGAAATATGTATCTAATTAAGGTGGTGCAGACACAGACTTAGGCAAGATGCAGTCTCATATAATGGCTACTGAGGCGCCGCAGTACAAGGCTTACAAAGTGCAGTTACTTCGGAAAGTGAGGACAAACACATCGGTACAACTGGGCATATCACTCGACAGGATAGAAGTGGAGCCGCTAGTCACACATAAACACGCATTCTGGGTAAGTCCTAATATAATAGAATAATAAAAGTCTATATATGTTCGAGTCTACTGAATGAATTTTCGTATTTTTGTCCATTCACTGAATTTGTTGACACATGGAAAACATCTCTTTATAAATAGTAGCAGTGTTAGTAGGTAGGTGTTTCTATTTCTAGCTACTTATATAGTTTTGGCAAAACCCATTAGTTACTACACTTATACATAAATAGTTTTGTATTAGGCAATATGCATGATAAACAAACAATGACCTTGATATTACGATGTTTTTAGTCACTAAAACTCATTCTTTGTTTTATGTTTTTATTCCATATGCAGTCGAGATCGAAGTACTTTCTGCACAGCATAGACTCAGTCGCTTGGTGCCAGATCCTGGAGACAAGGGGTAACAGGACCACCTTCAGAATAGTCTATTCTCCTAGTCACAATGTTGCCTATGCAGATAGGAGTAATACAGGTAAATGCCTGATTGTATTTCTTCTAAGTGGGTTGAAGAGTAATTTTGAACATATTTACCAGTTATACTTATTTGTTTTTTTTTAAAAAGCCTTTCCAAAATGTGTACTGAGAATTTCCTATATTTTTAGGTAACTCCACAATATTCCAGCCAAACACAACATACAAACTCCACGACTTCGAATGCGAACACGACACAGCTAAAGAAATTGTGGAAAAGGTAAATACGATATTAGACCTTAGAAACAGCCCGTGCCGACGCGAATACAAGACTGCCAAAGAAAAGAAACTACAGACCAGACGCAGTTTTCACACGAAACACTTGAGTTGAGTCTCGTAGATACTCCTGTACAGTGTAATATACTCCAGTGAAAGTTCCTTTAGTACATTAAACAAAAGTAAAACTGTATACATTAGTCTCGAAGGTCTTAAAGTGCTAGTAAACCATAGCGTCCTTTATAGAGACCATTGTCACACATCTAGTATTTAAAAAGCTGGAATTGAGAAAAGTTTGTTAGAAACATATCTCAACTGTTTGGAATTATTTAGGTTTAATGAATCAGGAAAATTATGTTATAATCTAGTCCTTTCCTGCCCTGAATAATTTCAAATGACATATTTATCCTCAATTATTATATGAGTGTATATTCTCAGTTGAAATCAGCATTGTGTTAGATGAGAATGTGTAAATTACTGGTATAGTGAATGCTTGAATGGCTTATTGAATGCAAAGCATCGATTGATAGAGGCTTCCAGCCGACATTAGCGGGTTGTGTCTAAACGAGCTGTATTTTGAAGCAGTGGCATATTTTGGCTTCATCAGTGGCCGCATTACATAGCAGGGAGAAATAGCCATTTACAATTGTGCAATTCTGGTAATTGTTGGGTCAAACCATTTTTTCATAGATTTTCATATTGTTAAGTACAGAATCTTTAATAATACAAACTGGCTGGCCAGTAAGTACTTTCGTTTTTCTATTGGGCCTGAATGACGGAGTTGTGTTTCTGTTTGCACGGGCGATGACGCGACCCCTGCTGCCTGGTGCGACGAACGCCCGATGTACGGCGTCTCCTTAAATGAGGCCTTACTTAACTCAATCTACGATAATTTGTTTTTGCTCACTGAAATTTTAGGTTTGTCAAGATGAAGTCTATTTTTCAATCAGTACTTGACGTTTTGCAATGCTCACCAACAACATGATGTATGTCTAACATGCATTTATTTGCTACCAAATATTCTTAATATAGGTAGACGGGATGCAGATTGGTGAAGCACAATTTCAGTACTGAAGGGACACTGCAATTAAAATACAGCCCCTTTAGAAAAACTTATTAAATTAATATTTAAAATAAAAACAAAATTTACAATTGAATGAATTGATTCATACTGTAGTATTGAAATGCAATTTTATATGATGAAATTTTTTATTCATATTTTAACCAATTTATACATACTTTGCATGAATTAGCTGTATACAATGTTTAGATTTATCTTATTTTGAAATTGATTGTGGTAAATCAAGAGCTACAGAATTTATGTTCTTCAGACAAAAAATTAAATAAAATAACAGTGTGAAATATATATAAGTGAATGTAATGGAAGCTACAGTATGAATTGACGCGAATATTTAACATTTTAATAATTTTGTATTTAGAATATAAGACATTTGTAACATCTTACATGTGATGTGTATTCAGTGTAAATGAGTATCGAGTTATTATTTTTTATGTATCGTGTAATTAATTAAGTTGTAATAACTTATTTTCGTCCATATTTAAGTTGCGTTAGAATTTATCTAAATGGTTTTTGTCGTACAGAAATCCTGTGGGATCCATACAAATATTATTCAATGCAATATTATGGTGAATATCTCACATAGTTTTAACTGTGATGTCTATATTTTATTTTAAGTATTCTTTAATGCAACTTTGCATTCGGTTTTTAGTGATTAATATATTGTAAAAAGCGTTACATATTCAACTTAACTTCAATATGAAATGTCAAATTATCAAATTTATACCACAAAATAGATATTATTTTTTTACAAAATGGATTAATAGTGACATTAAATTCCAGTTTCTTGAACTTGTGCTCATATGAACAAAACTCCACTGCCAGATTCAGCTCAATTTTTATTGGAAGTGATCCATTGTGTGCCTTACTACTTAATAAATAATAATTATGAATTTGTGTATGCTCAGATTGAAAGATGTGCTGATTTAAAAGTATGGAAAATGTTATTTTCCCCATTATGGTATAACTATGTTCTTACCAACATTCTGTATACAATGGATTGCTTCATACATTCAACTGTACAATATTAATTCTAGTATTTTATGAATGAAATAATTTATGTTGTGATTCTATGTTGATTTCATTATGAATCGAATTTATATGTATTATGTATGATGAATGAAATGTAAAATACAGTGAAATAAAATTGTTATTCATTACAAAGTTTGTTTTTAGTTTCATAATTCTATATGCCTACCCCTCAGATGGTAGTATAAAAAAATTGGGTAACAAGCCAATATAGGTACAGTTAATTAATGATTACACTATATTTACAACTAATATCTGCTGATATAGAACAGATTGTTGCTACACTAACTTAACTATTAAATTAAATATTGCCACCATAAAACTTGGCAACTATGCAACTCATATTTATATGGTTAATATCTCTTACATTTATGGCACAATATTTGTACAACAGATTTTGTGATCAGTTTTTATCATAATTATAAGATTAAAGCTATTTACATATTCATGTACTTTTGCTGTTGCATTTGTAATGCATGCTTTAATGAGATTGCACCAAATTCTTATCAGCCAGTTGCAAGAGATATTTTTTTATTTATGGTATTTACAAAATTCAACGTAGGTTATCATCATTCTGTTGGCCCAATAGTACTGTTTTCCAGTATATAATCTGTGACCATACTGACAATATTTTCACTCTGTGTCAATATTACATTATCAAGTTCACTTGCCCTTCGATAAAGTGCTCGGGCCTCTAGCACAGATTTGTGAAGTTTCTGTTGACTGTCAATAAGTTTGGATATGTTTGGTTTTCCCTTGATAAATTCTATGTCTTCATTGGATAGTGCTGAATAGGACATTCTTGATCTACTAGATGCTTTTACTGCCATCTGGTATTGTCTGCAACAAAGAGTATAATTTAACTTTTAACCTTCTAGTTGATAAAAGTTTATATTTAACATTTCTACATATTGTTTGAATAGTAACTCGATAATTCCATATTAGCTAAAAATAAAGCCATTTCCTCTTATCTAATAAAATAAACGACATAAATAAAAATAATTAAAAATACACACTGTCTGAGGTCATGGTACTTGTTTCTCCTCTCGTTTACCTCCTTCTTCCACATTTCTTTCTCAGCCAGAAGTTTCTCATAATATCTACAAACAATAACAAAAAGCAGTTTATTTTTTGTCAAGTCACATCGTTGATACCTAAATGGTATTTGCTAGTAAGGTGTAAAGCTTTTCTGTACCTTGTGAGATCTTCGGAATGTCTATCATTCGCTTCTGACTCTTTCTTAAAAGGGTTTAAATTTTCAGACATTGCGTGTGGAACTGAAAGGAAAACATTTATGAAATATTGTTAGACATGTTATATATACAGACAAAAGTAGATGTTTACTAAATAAACAGTACACAAGACCACAATTTCAAATACAATGCACAAGTTTCCGCGCACCTATCGAGTCCCTTCTTTCGAAGAATGTTGACCGCCTTCTCCGAGGTGGAGATCGAAAAGATTGATGTGCCTCTGTTTCATTCATCGAAGTATCCATTATTATCACCTTCACTAATTTTTAAAGGGATTTCATCAACTTTATAGTGAAAATCAAGTAAATATTTTCAAAATTACAAACACGACATGACGTTATAAACGGACGCCGTCTTTGACATTACACCATAGACACGGAGAAGAGCATAGAGATATTTTTTATGGATCAATCGGATATTCAAATATTTTGCTAGATATGCAAGATGGCCATAACCAGAGGTGATTTTGAAATTGAAATCTATGGTGATTTTTTTGGGTACTTCGTGCGGTAAACATCTTGCAAAATGCTAGCTAGTTTTTATTGGCCCTCTCAGCTGTAAGGAAGGGTGTCTTGTTCGTCGATTTCAAGACACTTATTTAACTTTTTCTCGAACATTTACGGTAAGGTGATTTAAATAATGTAAAACCAGTGTTGCCAGAGGCCGATAGTCAAAAGTTACACGAGACAGATCAAAAAGTAACATTTTGTCAGAAAAAGTAACATTGCCTTTTTTTTTGTGGAAACCGACAAAATACGTAAATAATAGTATGTAATGTAAATAATAATAATGGTATGAAAGATGGAAAAATACACACGAGTGAATGAATAAGTAGATTTAAGATTTGACAAACAATCGTATTGGTTGGTCAGTCCAGTCTGTCCAACAACACCATGTAGTTTTCTATCAAGCGTGCCAAAATGACTTAAAATTATATTTATAAGTGCGTTCCGATACACGATTTTCTTCGAAATACTCAAAAGTAACATAAAAGTAACATTGAGTGTGGTGTAACATGGAAGTAACATTGGAGGGCCAAAAGTAACGTAAAATGTTACAAAAGTAACATTCTGGCAACGCTGTGTAAAACAATGGGAAACAGTGAAAAGAATAGTGCTGCAAAATGCGATACTTTTTCATCTAGTGTGTTATCGAAATAGAGTAAACAATACAAGTGACTGCTATTCCATTGTTTATCATTTGGATTAGAGGTGGTTCAAAACCTTATTTCTATTTTTTTCGTATATTGATATTGCCATGCTTTCATTTTTTGCGTGGAACGGAGTTTTTTAAGCTGACATATTTAATTTGACGTTTTGTTTTCTTCAATCAATTCATCTCATCTATCGGTAAATACCTACCTACCGCAGTTTTTTTATTAATTTTGCTAAGTTGAAAAAAAGGGTCGTTTGTAATAATGTTTTGTTCTCGCAAGAGAACCTAAAATTCAATGGGTAAGATAGTGTTACGTTGCGATGTGATATTTATGTTATAACAATGTTTTTGTGCTTGGCTAGTATCGCATAATGTAGCAGTGTTTGTGAAATATAAGTTTTTGTGAATGTTTCTCAACAGCATGCAGTAATGGAGTTCAATGAATATCAGACAAAAGAGGTATTGGACCCGGTAGATATAGATTATTACTGTGATCGATCACGTTCGCCGAGTCCGACACCCGTTTTCAACACAAATGTATGTTGTGATTTGGAAGACATCTTGAGCGACGTAAGTGCACAATGTTAGTTTTTCACTCGGTTTTTCATCATTTCGCATGTAAGAATGCACTTTAAAACGTAAATGAGGCAAGGGATAATTCAACTCGAGAGCTATTTGTTCAACAATATTACAATCGTCAGGTGAGTGAGACTGGCATTGTGTATTATTTACATACTTAATATAAATGCATATAAACGAGTTTTTTGTTTGCTCTCTTAACCTGTCGGGAATAGTAAGTTACATGTGTTTGTGTATCTATGTAGAGGAAAACCTGTGCTTCTATATTTAAAATCAGACATTCATTTATGATCCAGACATAATTGTACATTGATTTAGAATGACTAATACTTAATTAATTATTTAAGTATCTAGTGGAACACAATTAATGGAATATAAACAACAATATTATCTCTAAGTCCTTCTATGATAATATAGGACCACTAAGAAGATTTAATTAAATCACTGGACTATGAACTTGGTTCCTTACTATACTTTAATTTAAACTGACCTTGAATAGTTCTCTTGAGGCAGAGAACATACTGTATTTATTATTATTATTAAATTAAATAAAAACCATGAAAATGTGGTTAAATTAGTGGGTTGTTAAATAGCTGGTTATCTATAAGTCAATTTCTTTCAGTTGAAGTAATGTTATCTTTGAAATATTTTATATCAAACAATCTCTATGATAACTGATCAGTATAAAAGTATGATTATAGTTTGTGCAATTGTTATATATGCTATTGTTATTCATACACAAACCATAGACTTACTGCAGCTGTAGAATGCATTGTTTTTTTTTATATTCCTTACAGGATTTGATGTTTAATTTTAAATGAAGAATGAAACACATTTTGTTGTTGAAATAGGCTTGTTATTTTTTTTATGATAAGTTTTAGTATAAAGTATAGTTAAAATATTAAACAACATGAAATATCAAATGTCTTTTGGTTTTAGGCAATATCAGAAACCTTGCAAGGCTCTCTCCGTGTGAGCCGCAGTCAGCTGATTAACCAAGAACTGACAATCAGACCAGAGGCCAATATCGAGGCTAACGTACCTGAAGGTTTAGACCTGTATAAGGTTATCTTTGAGGTGGAGAGTGACACGGAGGGGAGGATGAGTGATCTTGAAGGTGCTGCGGTACAAAATAACTCATTGACTGATCAGGTATGTTTTATTTTGTAAATAGATACTTAAAACCTTCCACATACCGGAGTAGGTCTCGGATTTAATCCACTTAAAATGTTTAACACCTACTGCTGCTGGATTTGCTGTCTGGTCATAAAAGTATACTTACAAAGATTTCTGCTCCACGCTGATGTTTTGTATACAGTATCATCTATCTACTTAGCAAAGAAATTCCTTTTCAAAGCTGTCTAATATCTTTTGTACAAACATTTACATCATGCAGTACTGAGGTATACAAGTAGTGTACAAACAAATATTTTTAAAAGTTATGTCAAATAGGAATTCAGTCAATCCAAAAGCCAAATTACTCTTTTTAATTATTGTGAGAGAAATTTGTAAACATTATGTTAGGTAACTTTATTATCTTTACACATTAGTGGAATGGTTTAATGACCTTTGTAATTTATATTACATTATGGTCTGATAAAATTAATAAATATAATTAATGAAAACTAGTTTACAAATCGGAAACTGCAACTGTTTTATTAATTTATATCCTCCTTATGTATTTTTGTACACATATATATGCTTAGGTTTTCAGGAAGACATTTTTATCAGTGCTATATGTGTGTTCAATATTCATGTCTGTTTATTTTTTATTTTATTTTTTGCTCTATATAGTATATGCAATCAAAAGAAGCTAATGTTGCCTATATTAATATTATAAAGAGGTAATTTTGTAATTTATAAGTTTGTATGTAGGGATATTTAGAACTGCTGTTCGGATTTTCAAAATTATTTCACTGATTGCTAACTACGAAGTTCCTGAGTGCTATAGGTTGTAAATTATACTTGATTTGCGTATTTTAATCGAGCTATTGCTTTAAACGCTGCTGTTTTTAAAATCCCGGGATACATTACTAGTATACGCGTGTGAAGTAGCAGGCGGAAGCTAGCGTAAAATATTTCTCTATGCAAATTATACAAATGCTTAACAATTTACAATGCAGTAGGTATATTTAGTACTCAGACTGACTCTTAACCAATATGTTATAGTTTTTTAATAGTGTTGCAGTATTCTAACAAGTACTATAGCCTGTGCAATGCACAATTACATGACTATCTGACCCTCTATTGTCTGTTGTATGTATACATACCACATTCATAACAAAAAAATGGAGCACTTTATACATTCTATGTGAATGGAAACCTTGCCCTGCTAGAGTCTAGTGTGTAGGTAGTAATTATTATGTTTTACCCAAGTAGAATTTTATGGGCAATACATATGATTTCCAAATTAAATATTTTGAAAATTGATTGAATAGAAAACTTAAATCGATTCGTGACTTGTGTCTCAATTCGGATTTCATGTCTTACTCTAATAAGATGAGCATAAATACTTCTTGTTGTAAATAAATAAGTATTTCATTCAAGTAGTATTTATTCAAAACAATAAAAAATAAACGTAATTTTCTAGTTTGCGTAAAATATATAACATCGTAGTACAGTTTGCAATAATGGCAGAGAAAATGGCTCCGCAAGGTCGATCTATTGTATTATTATAGTTCCCCAACAGGCCACCTATTGCATCGTTTTGATAAATCGCATTACACTGCACTCTGGATACCCGTTACGTAAACAAGACATAACCACATACACATTACCTATTGTATTTATAATCCTTCTTTGAAAACCGATATATGGGTTAAGAATTAGGTATTTTTTTACGTTTTCATCGCTTTATCAACTCATGTTAAGCGATCTGTTCTTTGAAGAAGAGTTTACTTCTGGATTGTCTCTTTGAAATTGCTGTACTTTCCGTGCTTCGGCACGAATGATCCGTAAACAATATTAAGGCGTTGCATTTCACTGTGTTAGTGAGATTGTCGGTGGCAGAATCAGGGAGATGGGGCCACCCCATTTCCCGAATTCCTCAATCTTCAACTAACCCAATGAAGCCGGAAACGCACTCGTAACTCTTTAACATTGCAAGCGTCCATAGTAGGTCGGCGCCAATTGCTTACCATCAGGGTAAGCAATCGATGATAAATCGGCTCGTTAGCAAATTGCCCCCACAAAAGAAAACAACGTTTAGCACACCTCTACGAATCGCTCCAAGGCTAAACATACTTGATTCAAGGATGTTTTACGACTGTGTCAAGGTTCTGTCATTGTTATGAAGCTCTTTAGTCTAGCTAAAAACTATTTAATCACAGAAAACTGTTACTTTTATACCATTTCGTATTTAATATTCTTGGAGTTTTTATTTTCTAATGATTTGAGAACTAACAATATTATTGAATAATGTAATTATGAATTAAAATATTTATTTGTCACGCTATCAGACTATCCACGTCTAAGTCTTAGAATTATTACACCGTCTAAGTCTAGAAATGTAAATGCTACGCAACGTCCAATATTGAAATTAAAGAAATTATTTTCATAACAAATTGTAGACACCTGCTTAGGCTGGTATAACTAAGTCGTAGGTCTTGGCCTCGACCCGGAGCAGGAGAAGAAACTAGGTAGTATTTATTCTCGCCTTACCCGAGGGGTAAGAAGCTATTGGAGGATTTACCCCCCCCCCCCCACAGAAAAAAGTAATGGTGGTCATGGTGTAATTATTGTTATACGTGTGTGAGTTTGCTTGATGTTACTGCGATTGGCCTGCTCAAGTTAAACAACCAATCAGAGCACTAAACGTCGTAAACGTGTCGATTTTGCTTTACGTGAAGCAAAATTGCACTTGGGATTGATTAGTAATCTGTGGCAATGGTTAGTTTCGCTCTAAAGTCTAACCACTACTAGACGTTATATACTTAGTCGGGTCATAAGTTCTGTCACAAACTTTTGATGTAATAACTTATACGCCTTTTGACAATTATTTAAAAATTATATATGAAATGAAAGGTCATTAAATGTACAATATAATTTTATTTACATTATTCGAAATGCCCTCCCCCATTTTGAACACATGCCCTTAATCTACGCGGCCAGTCATCGATCGCTGCACGCACCACATTCATATCTATGTCTGCCGCTGCTTTAACCAGAGATGCTCGGAGAGACTCCAAATTCGGGTGAGGTTTAGCACAGACTTTTTCCTCCAAATATTGCCATATCTTGTAGTCCAGTGGGTTTAAATCTGGACTAGAAGAGGGCCAGTCTTCATGCCGGATGAAGTCAATTCCACGAGCGATCAACCAGTCTTGCGTACTTCGTGCCTTATGAGCCGGTGCAGAGTCCTGTTGGAATATCCAATGCCTGTTCCTGAACATTGTCTGAGAAAGAGGTTCCACTATGTTTGTTAGGACAGTATTTTGATAAACTTCGGCACTAGTTCTCACACCTTTTTCACAGAAAAACACCTCAGTTACGCCTGAATATGAGACTCCAAGCCAAACCATGAATGAGGAAGGGTAATGCCCACGCTGGACCCTCGCAATACGCGCGCTTGCTTCTTCACTGCTGTGGGCATACACCTTATCATTTTGTTTGTTAAAACTTTCTTCAATAGTAAAAATTTTTTCATCCGAAAAAAGAATTTCGCGGTATTTTTTTCCCGCGTACCGTCGTAGCAAAGCGCGGGATCTGTCTAGCCTAATTTTTTTTAAACGCTCGTTCAAAAAATGTCCTGTCTTTTTACGATAAGCTCGTAGTCCCAGGTCTTCATTTAGTACTCTTTTAACAGTGGTTCTGCTTAGCCCCATCTGCAGAGCTAGGATTTTTTGTTTACGTACGGGATTTCGTTCGATTCGCGCCTTCACTGCTTTGATGACCTTATGTGTCCGAACTGTGCGAGGTCGGCCGCTTCTCTTACGATCTTCGAAGCTTGACTCTTCGGTGTATCGTTTGATAGTACGATAAACAAACCGTAACGTTATTTTCAAATTTTGAAGAATATTGAAAATGTCTTTTGGCGCGTAACCACAGCGGTGCAACGCGATAACCGCGATTCTGTCTTCTTTATTCGACCACTCCATATTTAAAAATGAATAAAAAATAATTTCTTTTTTATTTTCTACAAGCGCGAAAGTTCTATTTTTAAAATAAGTCGAAGAATTTCTGGCCAGTAATCGAAAATTAAAAATATAAGGTTTTGACAGAACTTATGACCCGACTAAGTATACTGGGGCATATCGATATACATAGAATTAGTCTATGTATATCGATATGCCCCAGTATTATCACATTCCACATAATTTATATATTGTGCAGTTTATTTTTCTTATCATTTATTGTCACAACGAAGGTTATACAGTTATTTGTAGACATGAAAAATAAGATTGATTAGAGTATTTTTAATCAATTTCCAATCGTGGCAATTTGAGACAACAAGTGCGCGCGTTTGATGAATGAAAAATAAAACTAAAAGTAAGAGAAGGTCAGAATGTTGTTAAATGTATAGGAAAAAAAAGCAAAATAAGTAAATAACAATTTAATTTTTAGTAGAAATAGATCCTATAAAATTGTATTTTTACATGTGTTAGAATAAAATTTTACGGATACCAAAATCCTAATATCTAAAACCAGCGAAGTGTATTTCACATCGATTCGGTGTACACCAGGTTTCTTCAACGTAATTTACTTTAGTATAATGTTATAGTGTCGGCTTGTAGACCTAAGCAGTGACTAAGTAGCTACTTCAGATTTACTATCTCCAGATAAGACAAGGATATCAAAGAAAGTGTGTTATCGTATTGACTAAGAAACGTTACTAAGAAAACTGAATAAATATTTCATTAACTATACTCCAATGTGACTTAACCCGCTTGGCTATTATTTATTGTAGTGTATTTTTTTTTGAGCCATGCCTTCCTCCTCTAATGGACTATAATGCAAAACATTCTTTTTTTTAATTCGTACAAGTAGTACCGGTGATTAACTCGCACAAACAAACAAGCATTATAATATAAGTATAGGTACTAGATAGATACGTAAAGAACTTACAGATCTATGTAGATAATGTAGATTATTTTCTCTTTGTTACCAACCGTTGACTCGTCGTTTATAAGGTTAAGTCCCGCTTACCGTGACCT